GCCGCTGCTTTAAGAGTGCCAGGGAGTTCCATTGCTCAACTACTCTTACTGTATTTTTTTTCTTAAAAGAGATTGGGATTGGATTTATACCCCACCCTTCGCTACCCAAAGGAGTCCCAGAGCAGTTTACAATCTCCTTTCCCTTCCCCCTCCCCACAACACACACACCCTGTGAGGTAGGCGGGGCTGAGAGAGTTCTTTCGAGGACTGCCCTGTAGAGAACAGCTCTGAAAGAACTTATGACTGCCCCAAGGTCACACCAGCAGCTGCATGTGGAGGAGTGGGAGCATCAAACCCGGTTCTCCCAGATTAGAGTCCACGCTCCTAACCACGACACCAAACTGCCTCTCCCAGTTTGCACAAAGGGTGGCACGTCTTGCAGAACTAGGACTGCTCTGACGCTCGTGAACTGCACGGATGGACACAGGGCATGACTCCATCGCCCTTAAGCCCCTCGACCAGCTCTTTTGTACCCGCTGCCATCTGACAGGACCAAACTGAATTTATTCGTTTACTTCACTCCCCAAAGGGGATCCGGAGTGACCTCCGTCCTTCTCCTCTCTTCCATTTTATCCTCGCGACAACCTTGTGAGGTGGCCAGGCCGAGCGTGTGAGGATGAGGGGCCCGAGATCACCCAGCAAGCTTCCACGGCTGGGTGGGGATTCGAACCTGGGTCTCAAACATCCTAATCCAATGCTTTCTAAGGTAAAGGTAAAGGTTCCCTTGCTCGAAAGCCAGTTGAATCCGACTCTAGGGTTGCGGTGCTCATCTCCGTTTCCAAGCCGAAGAGCCAGCGCTGTCCAAAGACGTTTCCATGGTCATGTGGCCGGCATGACTAAACACCGAGGCGCATGGAACGCTGTGACCTTCCCACCAGAAGTGGTACCTATTTATCTACTTGCAATTTCTTGCTTTCGAACGGCTAGGTTGGCAGGAGCTGGAACTAGAGATGGGAGCTCACTCCGTCATGCGGCACCCGGGTCTCGAACTGCTGAACTACTGACCTTCCACAGCCTGCAGTTCAGCGTCTTAACCACTTGAGCCACCGCAGCTCCTACAGAGCTGCTTTCTACAGAGGCTAAAATTAAGAATAGTGCAACAAGTGGGGATTTATTTAAAAAACGGTGCATTACAGCAGTGTACAAAGTCTTGCCAGCAGGAAGACTTCATGATCGCTGACACGACAAGCTGTCACAGGGACCCCACATTCCGTCACATCGGCCCACAGTTAGAACAGCTATTAAAGCACGGAAAAAAGCTGCATTGAACCAAAAGGGAGGGAGGTAAATAAATTCTCAGATTGCAACCTTGGCATCTGCTCCTGCTTTTTAGTGATGACTTTGGGGTGGAGCAGAGAAAAGGAATATCAGGAACACACGTCAAAAAAAGAACTGCTTTCTAAATAAAGGCCCGGATTAAAACACACGAATCTGTTCCAGAGTGAATAAATACCAGGGCAGTAAAATTAAAGGCTGGCCTCTGACCGTGGCCTCCCGCTCAGAGAGCTTCCACGCCACTTTGCTCAAAACAAACATGCCACTCCACCCTCCGACCTAGAAAACAGCCACAATCCTTTTACCAAACCGCCACGCCCGGAGGGAGAAAAATTTGTGGGCTGTCTCACGCCCTGTGTTGAAATCCACGGGGCACATTCCCTCCCCAGCTGCACCCTGGAACCAAAACCCCTGCCAAGTTTCACAAGCCATCTGGCCGCGGTCCGCAACAAACAGATTCCCTTCCCCCTTCGCCACCACAGTTTGCCTCTCGGCACTGCCAACCAAGCTTCCTTGAAAGACACCAGGCCTGCCCACTATCAATCTCCCCCTCCACTTGGTACCTCCTGGGAGTGTGGGGAGCATTCTTCCTTCACAGGGGCTGATGGTCCCGGAGCCTCGGACCCACCCACCCATGTTCAGCATGAACTGGGACTGAACCCTCAAATGTGTGCCGGAATCCTTTGCCGGGCCACAGGGATTCTATTGCGCCGAGGAGCAATGTTCCCTCTAAGATGTGGAGTCTTGTGAGCAAAAATTCTACCTTGTGAGCTACGGGCATTAAAGTTGTGAGCGAGCGATTTGGCTGCTGCATAAATCAGTTTGCTCTGGAGCCGTCCTTGCTGAGCTGAGACAAAAAAGTGTGAGCCAGAGGCTAAAAAACTGTGAGCTAGCTCACACCAACTCCGCTTAGAGGGAACACTGCCGAGGAGCCTCCGCAGCAGATGAGCAGATGTAGAAATGGTTCCCCAGGACCAAAAAGGCCAAACCGTCTGGAGGCTTCCTCTCCTTCCCAGGCGAGTCCCATTGTTCCCTCTAAGCTGAGTTAGTGTGAGCTAGCTCACAGTTTTTTGGCCTCTGGCTCACGAATTTTTGTCTTAGCTCAGGAAGGATGGGGCTCCAGAGCAAACTAATTGATGCAGTAGCCATATTACTTGCTTACAACTTTAATGCCAGTAGCTCACAAAGTAAAATTTTTGCTCACAAGACTTCACAGCTTAGAGGGAACATTGCAGGCGACCCTGCTCCTTGGTCTTCTCGCCTTGTCCTGCAGTCAACAGTCTGAGAAGTCCCGTTTCCATTATTCTGACCACTTTTCCCTATGCGTGTCAACACAGAAGGCCAACGACGGGTCTCTTGGGACTCTGCAGCAGAGCCCGGGTCAGAACTCAAAGGCGGTGGGCGCCCGTAGGAGCAGGGCGTGGGGTCTGGGCAGGACTTGGCGGGGACCAGTGTTCCCTCTAAGCTGAGTTAGTGTGAGCTAGCTCACAGTTTGTTAGCCTCCAGCTCACACATGTTTGTCCTAGCTCAGGAAGGAGGGCTCCAGAGCAAACTCATTTATGCAGTCGCCAAACCGCTCGCTCACAGCTTTAATGCCAGGAGCTCACAAAGTAGAATTTTTGCTCACAGGACTCCACATCTCAGAGGGAGCATTACAGCCAGTGTTCCCTCTAAGATGAGTTAGTGTGAGCCAGCTCACAGTTTGCTAGCCTCCGGCTCGCACAGTTTTGTTTTCATTCAAGAAGGAGGGCTCCAGAGCAAACTAATCTATGCAGCAGCCAAATCGCTTGTTCACAACTTCAATGCCAGTAGCTCACAGAGCAGAAGTTTTGCTCACAAGACTCCACAGCTTAGAGGGAGCATTGCAGCCAGTGTTCCCTCTAAGCTGAGTTAGTGTGAGCCAGCTCACAGTTTGTTAGCCTCCAGCTCACGCAATTTTGTCCTCACTCAAGGATAGCTCCAGAGCAAACTGATTTATGCAGGAGCCCAGTCGCTTGCTCACAGCTTTAATGCCAGGGGCTCAAAAAGTAGAATTTTTGCTCACAGGACTCCACAGCTTCGAGAGGGGGCATTGGTGATGACTTACTTGTAAAAGATCTCTCCGGGCTTCCCTTCCGACCGACTCCCAAGCACAGGGCTATTCTTCTGCTTTTTTTTTTTTTGAAGTATTTTTAGAAAATTAATTATGCCTGCATCTCCGTCCCTTTCTCTCGCAGAGACAGAAGGATACATGAAAGGGCGCCGCTGGGAAATGTGATTGTTTGAACCAGGAGTAGGCACCCACACAGCCACATTCAGGCTGCCAGCGGAGGCTGGGGGAAGGGGGGGGAGGGTTGCCAGCTCCTGCCAACCTAGCAGTCCGAAAGCAAGAAATTGCAAGTAGATAAATAGGTATTGCTTCGGTCCGGGGAGGACAGGGACCTCAGTGGGGGATGATGCCACAGAGCCCACCCTCCAAAGCATCCCATTTTCTCCAGGGGAACTGATCTCTGGAGTCTGGAGTTGAGCTGAAATTCCAGGGGATCAGTTCCCTTGGAGAAAATGGCTGCTTTGGAGGGTGGACCCTGTGGCACTGTACCCCACTGAGGTCCCTGTCCTCCCCGGGCTCCACCCCCAAGTCTCCAGGAGGTTCCCAACCTGAAGATGGCCACTCTACCCCCCCCCATCCTCCACCAGCGGCCAAGGGGGACCTGGCAACCCTACCTGAAGCACACCTTGAAAGAATGGGCAAACAAGAAGGCAGTCTTTGCTAAAGAAGCCATCTCCAAAAGAGACCGGGGTGGCTACCAGTGTTCCCTCTGAGTGTGAGCCAGCTCACAGTTTTTTAGCCTCCAGCTCACACATTTTTGTCTTAGCTCAGGAAGGATGGCTCCAGAGCAAACTGATTTATGCAGTATCCAAATGCCTCGCTCACAACTTTAATGCCAGCGGCTCACAAAGTAGAATTTTTGCTCACAAGACTCCGCAGCTTAGAGGGAACATGGCACTGGGAAAGGACGGTGCATGGCTGGGGCGTGGGGGAAAAGCCGATCCCAAGACAAAAACTGCATCTGAGAAATCACAAAAGCGCTCCCAACAACTCTAATCTGTGTGCAGTCAAAACTAGACCCTTCCGAAGTCCTTTGAACTAGAACAGCTCTTCATCGGGACAGAATCTGTTCAGCCCCGTTTCCTCTTACAAAGAAGTGGGCGCCCCAGGTGCAGTGGGGTGGCAGCGGTGGACTCTGGGGCAGGACTCCAGGACCTCAGCTCATGGGCTCAGCCGGACACACACACACACAAATGCAGGTTGTGACCAATGCTCCCTCTAACCTGTGGAGTCTTGTGAGCAAAAATTCTACTTTGTGAGCTCCTGGCATTAAGGCTGTGAGGGAGCGATTTGGCTACTGCATAAATTAGTGTGCTCTGGAGCCCTCCTTCCTAAGACAAAAATGTGTGAGCCGGAGGCTAAAAAACTGTGAGCTGGCTCACACTAACTCAGCTTAGAGGGAACACTGGTTGTGACTGTGAGCTCCATGGGACTTACTTCCTAACAAATATACACAGAATCGGGTGACAAATGTGTCTGTTTCTCCGTGGAGGTGGACAGATGGGATGAGACCAGCTTGCTGAATCTTCCCCCTGCCCTTGACCCTAAAACCACTCGACTGCACCACTGCCCAAATGCTCTGAACCCACAAGCGGCCCCCTAAGACTTCCTCCAGCCCTGACAGACAGCGACTCACCTTGCAAGATCGCTGGTATGCTGGCCATTTGGGGGCAGGGCTGCTCGGGGGGGGGGGCACCGAGAGAATGCCCCCGCCCCTGTTCTTTCTCTTTCAGCAGGCTGCTCCCATTTCTCCAAGAACGTTTGGGAGACTTGCCGATTTCCCCAGCAAGGCAGCTCAAGCTGTTTGGTCCCGTCAACGACCTTCCTCTCAGTGCCAGGGCTGAGTGCTGTTTTTGCAAGAAATCTTTTGACGGGATTGTGCAACATTAGCAAATCCAGTGTGTGCATAAACACGCAGCTGGCTCAGGGGTGGCTTTTCAGGCCTTTTCCTGATTCTGCAGTTTCTGTATTATCTAATTGCTTCCTTCAGTTGTGCTGAGAGAGGAACGCAAGGAGGGGCTTCAGTACACTCAGCTGCAGGAGGTTTATCGATTTTTTCAAAAAGCTCTACAAAGTCCAGACAACTTAGAACAGGGGTGTCAAACATGCGGCCCGGGGGCCACATCAGGCCTCAGGCCCGCAGTGGAACTGGCCAGCTCCTGCTTCCAGTTCTGCTGCTGCTGCATCATCGCTTGCCTCACCAGACTCTCTTAATCGCTCAGCTGTTTCATGTTTTAACCTGGGTCCTAGACTCAGAACTCTGAGCGTGAGATTTCTGTGGTGGATGCCAATAAATCAAAAGTAGGTTTGCAGCCTACAGAGCTAATGTTTTAAGTAGGTTTTTATTTTAAGTTTAAAAAAAAAGTCTTTGTGTTTGTGTCCTTTATAAAGTTTATATCTCCGCTACCTGACATTACAGTTTCTCTCTCTCTCTCTCTCCCTCTCTTTCTGCGCAGATCTGTGCGTCATCCCCTCCCCCCCAGCTAGCAATCCAAAACAGTCCAGTGGCACCTTTAAAGCCAAGTTTTATTCAGGTACAAGCTCTCCCTCCTCTGCGAGGGCAGATCTGCATGTCCCCCCCCCAATAGCTAGCAATCCAAAACAGTCTAGTGGCACCTTTAAGACCAAGTTTTATTCAGGTACAAGCTCTCCCTCCTCTGCGAGGGCAGATCTACACGACACCGCCCCCCAATAGCTAGCAATCCAAAACAGTCCAGTGGCACCTTTAAGACCAAGTTTTATTCAGGTACAAGCTCTCCCTCCTCCGCGAGGGCAGATCTACACGACACCGCCCCCCAATAGTTAGCAATCCAAAAGAGTCCAGTGGAGCCTGAGCGGTGGGTGTTGCCTTCTGACACACTTCCGGTGATGGCCCGGCCCAACAGGGTCTCATTTATATCAGATCCGGCCCTCAAACAAATGAGTTTGACACCCCTGACTTAGAATGTACTGCATAGAGAAGACCAAACAGTTATCTATATCCGGACTGGGGATGCCACTTTTCTGTCCAAGAAGGACCCCAAAAGCAGCTTACAACATTCACCTTGCCTCCATCCAGTCTAGGGGTGCCAGCCTCCAGGTGGGACCTGGGGATCCCCCTGGAATTCCAGCTCATCTCCAGACTCCAGAGATTATTTCCCCTGGAGAACACGGATGCTTCGGAGGGCAGTCCAGTGGAGCCTGAGCGGTGGGTGTTGCCTTCTGACACACTTCCGGTGATGTCAGGGGCTGTGGCATATGCAAATGAGTTATGCGAATGAGCTCCTGCACCTCTTTTTCTACGAAATGACCCCTGGCTGTCTGGATCCAACACAGATATTTCAGTCAGACCGCAAGCAGGAAAATGAGGTGACAGAATCTAGCAACGGCAGAGAAAACTGCTCTGTTTAGGCTGCAAAATGCCTTCCTGCATAGATAATTCTCCACAAGGAAATATACTTCATATCAGGGATAAGGCCGGCGCTCTTGCTGCTACACTACCTCTCTCCTGGCAGGGAGGGGCAGTTAAGGAAACAGACATTTTAAGGCGGAGATGTCCCACCAGGCCTCTGGCTCAGGGCAGCAAATGCCTCCCTTTCACAATGTTCTGAAAGAACCTGCAAGAGGGTGCCTTGTCCAAGAGTGCCCCAGCTGGGTGTGAGTTTTAATTCTACCAGCTTCCAGTCTCCCAACCACCCAATTCCCCCAAAGGATTATTGTACTGTGTCTCAGTAATGTGGCTGGAAGAGTAAAGCTGTGGAGTGAGATGTGAAGGCCCAGAAAAAAACCGGAAAAATTCGGAGGGGAAACGTTTTTTTTCCTGAAGCCTTTTTGTTTTTTTCCGAAAAATTGGAAAAATTGAAAAAAGAAAAGGAAAGGAAAAAAATTGATTATAGAACGTTTTATTTTAATCTTCGTTCGTCCAGTCATGCCAAATATGCACTATGAGTAAACATTGTCCTGGGAACACCCCGGGTCTTTTGCACCCTCTCCCCACCCCAAGTCGACCCCGGGAAGTTATCCCCTAAAATATATATATATGGTATCAGATTGATCTAATTTCTGTGCACTGAGGACAAGCAAGTCCTAGGTTACAAACTGAACTCTCCAATGCAAGAACAAGATGCATTTCTTCCTTTTGGAGGTGCGATTGTCACAAGAAACGAAAAAGGCTTCAGTTTTGTTTTTGCATGTGGGTGGGTATTCTGTTTGTAATAATTGTTTGGATACACTATATTTTTAATATGCTAGTTGTGATAATTTCATGCCAAGTAAAAATGTCCATAGTCATATTTTATGTTCCTAAAGTAACAGAATGACTTTCGATCTAGAAAAGACAAAACAAATGCTAATTAGCATTTTTTCAATTTTTCTGAAAATTTCCTTTTTCCCCCGAAAAAAACTGGGTTTTTTTCCGAGCTTCATAATTTCCGGAAATTTTACATCTCTAGCTGTGGAGTGAGATAAACTATGTCAGGATTCCCAGTCGCCAGATTAACTGGTGTGGCACAGTGGTTAAAGTGTCAGAGGTGCAAATCACAAAGTCACCCGTTCAAATCTCACATCTGCCTTAATCCACTCTGTGGCCTCTTTCTCCGCCTGAGCCCACTGTCTTCTGCAAAATGGGAAGTCCTACAGACTATTTCTGTCAGCACAAGAGCACTTCTATCATTGCAGGAAGGGGGCGATTTTTGGCAAGTCTCCCTCTCGCGGCAGACCTTTCCAATGGCTCCTTGAACCCCAGAGCAGTGCTAATGGGGCGGCAGGGGGCTACCTTGCGAAAATTTCATTCCACCAGAGATTATAGGCTCCTGGGGACTATGTGCATCTGAAGCTCTTTACAAAAGCAGCATATAAATGCTAACCGTCGCTATCAGAACACACAGGTTCACTTAACTTTTCTAAAAAGCTTATTAATAAGAAAAAACATGCACACTGTTGTCATTAGCGGGATAAAAGGCAAATATTGAGTCAAGGTTAACACACTTGCCCTAGCAGGCAAAAGAGACAGCTGACTTTGCTACAGGGGATTCTGGGGGAGCTTCCATGTGGGCATTCTTTCCACTCTTTGCTTTCAACACAGACTCACAGAGCAGGAAGGGTCCACACAGGTCATCTAGACCAACCCTCTGCTCAATGCAGGATCAGACTAAAGTATCCCTGACAAGTGTTTGTCCAGCCGCTGCTTTAAGAGTACCAGGGAGGGGGAGCTCACCACTGTCAACTAAGCTGCCATGAGTAGGGAGAGGCGTTCTAATTGTTATGCATTCCTTCCCATGTGCTTAATTGCTTCCCAACGGCAACGCTTATCTGTAAAGAGCTACTGAAGGAGTGTGGTGTCTACCTTTCGTGGGATCATTCTGGTTCCCAGCTTCGCTACCGTTAGAGACTCTTACCGTCTCCCGCACGCGGGAGCCCATCTAATTGGGTATTGCTGAGGGGGGTGCATACGAATGCCCTATATCCTATTATGCGCATAGGTAGTCCGCCATTCCTAACAGTGTTCATGTTACTGCATCTATGGCTTTTCAATAAAAGTAAAACCTTCCTGGAAGCGTGTACTTCGTTGTTTTGCTGTGCATCCTGACAACAACCTCCCTAGGCAGCCCATTCCATTGCTCAACTACTCTTACTGTATTTTTTTTCTTAAGAGAGATTGGGATTGGATTTATACCCTGCCCTTCACTACCCAAAGGAGTCCCAGAGCAGTTTACAATCTCCTTCCCCTTCCCCTCTCTCTCTCACACCCTGAGAGGTAGGCAGGGCTGAGAGAGCTCTCTGGAGAACTGCTCCTGAGAGAACAGCTCTGAGAGAGCTTGTGACTGACCCAAGGTCACACCAGCAGCTGCAGGTGGAGGAGTGGGGAATCAAACCCAGTTCTCCCAGATTAGAGTCCGTGCCCTTAACCAGGACACCAAGCTAGCTCCAGCCAGTAGTTTAGGTCCATGATTTAAACCCATTGCGAGTTCTGTCCTCTGCTGCCAACAGGAACAGCTCCCTGCCCTCCTCTATGTGACAGCCCTTTGAATCGTTCAAGAGAGCAATCCTGTACCCCCTCAGCCTCCTCTTCTCCAGACTGAACAGTCCCAAGCCTTTCCTTGTAGGGCTTGGTCTCCAGGCCCCTGATCCTCCTCTTCTCCAGACTGAACAGTCCCTCAGCCTTTCCTTGTAGGGCTTGGTCTCCAGACCCCTGATCATCCTTGTCACTCTCCTCTGCACCCGCTCCATTCTGTCCACATCCTTTTTGAAGTGGGGCCTCCAGAACCTGAAGAACCACTTTTGGTAACAGCCACCTAAAACCATCCTCTAATCATCCACCTTACAAGGCTTTCCTTGCCCTCAACATGCCCTTTCTCAAACCTGTTTTACTCTGGAACAAAGCTTGAGTTCAGCAGCACCTTTCAGCAGGGGTCATTTCGTAGAAAAAGAGGTGCAGGAGCTCATTAGCATAACTCATTAGCATATGCCACACCCCCTGACATCACCGGAAGTGTGTCAGAAGGCAACACCCACCGCTCAGGCTCCACTGGACTGTTTTGGATTGCTAGCTATTGGTGGATACCATTTTCCCTGGTGCACCACTGGGCGACTTTTGAAAATAATAATTGCTATAGCAGAACATAGTTTGAGTCCAGCGGCACCTTTAAGACCAACGAAGTTTAATTCTGGGCATTCGCTTTCGTGTGTGTGCACACTTTTTTGAATGCACACGAAAGCTTATATGCAGAATTAAACTCTGTTGGTCTTAAAGGGGCCACTGGACTCAGACTCTGTTCTGTTGCTTCAGAGCAACACGGCGACCCACCTGAATTGTTGTAGCAATGACTGATTTT